ATTGTAGGAGTTGGAAGGGACCTCAGGAGATCATCATAATGTAGAATATAGACAATATATAGAATATAAATATAGACTCTAGAATAATAAAATAATAATAATAATGGGTTATTGCAACATGTAATTTTTGATCTCTTTTACAGTTCCTTGCCTGATGATTGGCAGGGGTGGGCACAGCACAGGTAACACTTTGTACTGAAACCCACGGATCTGCAGAGACCTCATTGTCCTATTCAAAAGCTTTTTGTCTTTGTCCATTTTTTGCAATGTCTCCATTTGTCATTTAAGATGACATCATTTATCAACTACTCACGTGAGAGTTTGGGGTTATATATAAAATCCCATTATTTTCTCTTCTAGGTGTGGATGTTCTTGCTGCGGGGAGGAGGGTGACAGCAGGAGACAGGAGAAGGCTGATCCATCCTTGGAAGGAATAAATTAGGGACTCTCGTTTGAAGCCTATAAGAAATATGGGGACACACTTTTTAGCAGGGCCTGTAAAAACAGGACAAGGGGTGATGGTTTTAAACTAAAAGAGGGAGGATTCAGACCAGATATAAGGAAGACATTTTTTACTCTGAGTGTGGTGAGACACTGGCACAGGTTGCCCAGAGAGGTGGTAGAAGCCCCATCCCTGGAAACATTCAAGGTCAGGTTGGATGGGGCTCTGAGCAACCTGATGTAGTTGAAGATGTCCCTGCTCACTGCAGGGGGGTTGGACTGGGTGGCCTTTAAGGGTCCCTTCCAACCCAAACCATTCTATGATTTGCCAGGACCTCACGGCTGGGGTGACATTGTGACAGGCGATGCCGATACCCATATCTCTCCCCCCATGGATCCAGGCACAATGCCATCAGCAGAGATGCACAGAAATATTTTCCCTTTAGTTTTCATGATGGAAGCATCCCTCTTCCCCCATGTGCCATAACATGGTGTCCTGACCCTTGGCTGGTATTGTCATCATGCTCTCAGCACAGTGACGAGGTAGGAAAGAAAACCAAAGAAGTTGCAGATATCAGGGGACTGAGCTAATTTTCTCAGACATAAAAGCATCTTTTTATTAGTATTTCTGTTTCTTTCTTATACACACTCTGGGGAAAAGTCTATGAAATAAGAGGTGATACTTTTTCCACCAGCTCTTGCAGTTATGAAACCTGCTGCTAAAATCTCTCCGAGGTTTACTGTCTTAAAACACCCTATTGAAGATTATAGGAATTACTAGAAGTTTTTCATTGGTTCCATTGGTAAACTGCCCAAACCTGTGTTTCAAAGGACAGGTAGTGTCTGTGACTGTTGCTGTCCTCTCCTGTTTTCACTGCACACAGATGATGTGGAGTTTGGGGTATTTTTAGGGTATTTTTTTCAAATTACAAAGCAACATTGAAGCCTAACTGGAGAATTCAGATGTTGAGCAAATTCTTTGCTACCTGTTAGAGTTATTCATTGGCAGGCAGAGACCTGAGGGGTGAATCCCCATCCTTGGAACTGGTGTTATTGGAGTTGGGATAATCTGGTGGCAGAAGTCTATCAAGGCAGTATGGTGATGTCCTGGGGGGTTTCAGTGGGGGTCAGATACCCTGGTGATGGTGTGATTGTGGGCATGAAGGGAGGAGGAGTGGACTGGGCAGTGTTATCCCTGTGGCCACTCAGCTTCTCATGGGAGAGGAGGATCGGCACTGGCTGCTTGGCTGTGGGAGGCCATCTCCTGTGCTGGTCGAGAGGTGAAGCAGGGATGGACATTTAGGTCAGGATGCCTCAAGCATGGGAAATGGAGCTGGGTTTCAACATCAGCTGCAGGCAGAGGGAAAAACTCTGTTTTTAAATGAATAAACCTTTGCCCATGGGAAGATTCAAAGGGGCTTCCTTACAGCTGTCCTGTAAAAAACACATACCCTAAAAATTATGTGGTCCTGGGGTGAAGATCTGCACACCGAGTCCTTGCAGGGTAGAAAAATGGTGGGTTTAGTTAATCTGAGCTTTCACAGAGGCTAAAAGATGCTGCTAGTATGATGTGTTGGAGGCAGAGATGCTCGGGGACCCCTCCCTGCAGCATCCCTGGTGGGATGGGGTCTGGGGTCCCCTCAGTGCCCCGGGGAGCGTCACAGCTCGGTGTGCACCTCTGCTGGCTTTGTTACTGTGTCATTTGGGGAAAACATCCATCTCAACGAGCACCCATGGCTGGGTTTGAGACCAAGCCCTCCAGAAAAATTTATATTAAAGTGGAGAGCAGTGGCTCCCTGCAGCTGGCAGGGTAGCAGGGTAAGGCCAGAGGGATCCAGCGATGCTTTACATCTGCACAAGCTCTTCCTACACCTGCATTTGCCCCGGCTCTGGGGACTCTGGAGCCACATGAGTCCTTGGCTTGTGGGCAGCTGTAAGGACACATGCAATGTGTAGGACAGGAGATCCCTGCTGCTTCTCCAGTGGTAAAAATAGCTGCTGGCCTTCCCACCCATGCTGGCTCTCTGCCACTCCCTGAAAGGAGGGTGTAGAGAGGTGGGGGTGGGTCTGTTCAACCAAGGAACAAGTGACAGGACAAGAGGAAATGGCCTCAAGTTCCACCAAGGGCAGTTGAGATTGGATCTGAGGAAGAATTTCTTTGCTGAAAGGGTTCTCAGGCATTGGAAGGGGTTGCCCAGGGCAGTGGTGGAGTCCCCATCCCTGGAGGGATTGAAGAGTCATGTAGACATAGTGCTGAGGGACATGGGTTAGTTGGGGGACTTGTTAGTGTTGGGTTCATGATTGATCTTAAAGGTCTTTTCCAATTGAAGCAATTTTGGGATTCTGGGATGGGAGATACCTGGACCACCTTCCCCTTGCACTCACTGTGGGCGATGCAGCCTTGCACCCATGCCCATGTTTCAGCAGAGACATGGGGCTTGGGATGCACCTGAGAGAGAGTGCTCATAGCCTGTGCTCAGCAAGATGCCCCATTTCCAGCCCCACATCAGCCTTGCAGCTCCAGGCAGTGGCTGAGCCACGTTAACATCCCTGGGAGACCGACCCTGCTTCTGGCATTGCTCGGGGCTCAGCACCCATGGGTGTCCCTTGGGCCTGAGCACACATGGGTATTACTTGGGGCTCAGCACCCATGTAGGTATCACTTAGGGCTCAGCACCCATGGGTGTCAGCTGGGGCTCAGCACGTGTGGATATTGCTCAGGGTTCAGCACCCATGGGCATCATTCAGGGCTCAGCACATGTAGGTATCACTCAGGGTTCAGCACCCATGGGCATCATTCAGGGCTCAGCACATGTGGACACTTGCCAGGGCTCGGCACACGTGGACACTTGCCAGGGCTCGGCACACTCAAGTCTGGGCACACACAAGTGTCCCTTAGAGGTCAGCACACCTGGGCATCTCTCAGGGCAGTTCTCACTGGCCATGCCGTGCTGTGCTGTGCTGTGCTGTGCTGTGCTGTGCTGTGCTGTGCTGCTGGGCTCAGGGCCAGCCATCGGCCCCCTCTGTTTTCTCTCAGGGGTGGTGTTGACCTTCGGGCTGTGCCAGGTGTTTGGCCTTGGGTAGATGGTTTTGTCTGGCTTTCCTCTCCCACTCTTGGCTGTTTGCAGGCTTGCAGGGGAGAAGATGTCCTCCAAAGCTGCTTCCCCTGGAGCTGCTGTTCTGCTTTAACTCCTGCTTGGGCAGAAGCCTTGGCTCCTTGCTCACCACCCAGCCATGTCCTGCACTGAGTGCAGCCACGAGACACCAGCCTGCAGAGCAAAACGACTAAGGACACATTAACTGTTTCTACCAAACTTGTACAGGGCCTTTGCAAGCTGTGGAGTGACCTGTCTCTGCTGTCTGCAGGTTGCTCTCAAAGTGTTCATCAGCAAAGATTTATCAACCACTATTAGCAGGAGCACAGCAAAACACCCATGTGTTGTCCTGTGGGAGAACAGAGAGACAAGAAGCTCTCAGAGCATCTTTCCAGCCCATCTGAATCCCTTTGGTACAGCAGCCCCAGTGCTCCTGGTGCAGAGCCAGCCGTGGTGTTTACCTTGCTCCTTGCCCTTTGAGAAGTGCTCAGCATGCTGCAAGGATCCACCAACCCTTTTAAAAAATACTTTGCAGGGGAAGTAGTTCCTTCCCTAGGATTATTGAGGAGTTTTGCCAAATTGCCTTGCTATTTACCCATACCTGACAAGGTTCCTGAGCGCTGGCATCCCACCAGCATATGTTCCATAGCTGGTTCTGCATTAAGTGTCTGTAACTTGTCTGCTGATGAGGGAATGAGGCTGATGCTGTAGCTCTAATGATTGCTAATGACTGAACTCTCATCTCTTGAACCAGAGAGCTCTTGTGTCCTGTGCTGTAAAATTAAGAGTTGTCAAAGAATAGACACTAGTGTACTTCAAGCTTTAAAAATGAACAAATGAGACCAAAATTTTAAAGACTGGGTGATGTGAACAGTGTTGAAGCACTTAAAAATCAGTGACTTTAAATTTTGCTGTTGACAGGTATTAGCAAATCTAACTGATTTAATTTTAAGGCCTGTTACCATCCAAACACTCTGGGATATGTAGCCAATGCACATACATACATTTTTTTTTCACCATTTGAAAAAGCAATATGCAGGCGTTTGACTTTAATTGTACTTTTCAGTTGAGAAAAGGTGACACATCCAGAATCCAAAATCCCAGAATCCAAAAGTCCCTCCATGTATGCAAAGTACTGACAGATAACCACATCCTAAGAACCATATCTTGATTTAGTGGGCATGGTGGTGTTGGGTTGACAGTTGGACTGGATGATCTTGGAGGTCTTTTCCAACTTTAATGGTTCTGTGATTCTACAATCGTGGTCCCTTTGCCAGCCATTGTATAAAGGAAACGTATTAAAGTTCTTGTTCATTGCAGGAAAGAAATGTCTGTTTTGCAGTGCAAGCCCATATCTGTCCTGTAATGTCCTTCCTGGGGCACGTCCCTGCAGGTCTCAGCACCGTGCAGGGGAGGGTCCATAGCTTCTCCCTGTCTGCTCGAGGGGAGGGGAGCTGGTGGGATTTACTGCCTGTGGGCACGAAGCCACAGCCTCCGCCGCAGACCTGGGGAGAGATGGTGTCTGTCAGCCCCAGGACCTCCTCCCAGCTCCCCATCCCTGGGCCTGGGACACCCCTCCTTGTCCCCTGGGCTGGCAGGATGCTTACGGTGGAAGCGGTGGGCAGTGGGGACCAGGCTCAGCAGAAGGACCAGGATGCCAGTGGCCAGCGGGATCCAGACCAGGGGGCTGCAAGCACCTGGAGAGCAGGAGAGCACATGGTGTGGAGCTGTGCCCCACCTCAGCACCCGGCATCATCCTGGCCTGGCAGCTTTGGGGGATGAAGGGTGAGGTGGGGAGGGGAGTAAAGCAAGGCAGGTCCTCAGGAGGGGTGGAGGACATAACCATCACCCTGGGGTATCCTTTGGGGGATGCGTTACATCCGAAGGCATTGCAGGGAACTTAGCTATGTTCCACAATGACCTTTTCTGTGGTATTCCCTCTGGAATTAACCATGCCTGCAGGACTGATGCTGCACCTGCAGGGGCTGCACACCCAAGGGACACAAGAGCTTAGGCAGAGCTAAATGGACGTACATCCCCACCCCTGAACCCTTGTATATCCCAGGGAACTGCTCCTAAAGGCAGAGGTCAGCTCCATCCAGTGCGCTGGGTCTAGGTAGACCTGGATGCCCACCTCAGCAGGGTCACATTGTGGTTGCCCCCACCCCAGGACAAACTCCAGCTGAACCCTGGGGACCCCCAGGAGCTCAGGAAACCCCTTTTGCAAAGCAGCCTGAGCCAACCTGGTGCCATACCTTTCTTGCTGGCAGCTTTGCTTTTGGTTACGCACCACATGGGTTTCTTGGAGAGTGGTGCCTGAGTGGTCTTCAAAGACAGAGGCAAAACATCAACTGGTGGATAAGGAGGAGAAGAGGATAGTCAATATGGCACCGAGTGTGGTCAAGGTCATAAGTAGCAGGCAGGAAGGGCTGGAAATTTTTGCTTCTAAAACTAGCCCCATCTGGGGACCCCACAAAGTTTTGGGTCATCTGGAGGGGCCAGGAGCTCAATCTGAACCTCTTGGAGGCCACAGAAGTTGCCAAGAGCTTGTAAAAGCATTAATAAAACAACGCACGAGGCAAACAAGGGCAGAAGGTTAAGGAGGGGAACTCAAGATACATTTACTACCAGGCACCATCTCACCAGCATTGCACAAAATCATGGGTAGCAGGAGATTTCGGTAGCACTGGAAGGTTTTAAGGGATTCTCAGATCTTTTCCATATTCAGGTTGCTCTAATCTTTGCTTAAAAATTGGAATTTTTTTTAAATGATAAAATTAGGGCAGGATTTATTATGGTGTATCTGATTTATAACGAAGCACATTCATCTCTCTGTAAAGGTGGGCAGGAAAATATCCCAGTAACATCATTAAATAGCTGTATATCAGACTGCTCAAACTCCACTTATTCAAAATTTTGAGTGATTCAAAAGAATTCTTTTCTGCTTCTATCCAGGACTGAAATTCCTACAGAAACCATAATTCTTTTAAATGGACAGGTGAGACATCAGGTGCCTGGAATTTATCTGGACAGCTTCTCCTTACATTATAATAGACTTAAAGAAAAGGAACTTAAAGAGAATTTGTTTTAACGTGAGTACTAAAAGGAAAAAAGGAAAATATCCAGCAAAGCCTGAGTCCTCCCAGAGCACCTGCTCATGTTTAGTTTTAAATTGGAGTGTCCTTGATCATGCTGAATTTCAACCCTGTTTTTCTTGCTTTGCTTTGCACAGAGATATGTGCCCAGTTGATGAAAAACAGTTCTCCTTTATCTTAAACGAGTTTTTCTTTGAGCAGGCAAGAATCCAAAAGGGATTTCTCAGCCAGCTCAAGGTTCAGGGCATGTTTGTGGAAAAAAAACCCCAACAAAAACCAAAACCAAAACTCAGAAATGTTGGGACACTGGGGCTGCTTTAGAGCCAGCAGCCATAGCTGCATCTTGGTTAAATAAGTTATTTGTCTCCCTAAAAGCCTGCAAAGAAAGGGCTGCATCCTACTTCAAACACATGAGTTTTTCTGCATCACCTCCTGCTCTGTGGTCAAAGGGGAAATGGGCTGAAAAGAGCTCCTGTGTGACCCCGGGTCTGTAAAGCATCACTCCCCCCGTGCCACCTGCAGCCAGCTCTGATTTCTGGTTGGAGATCCCCAGTGATAGTGGGTTGTGAGCTTGGAAGAATAAATCCCAATTCAATCCTTTATGTGAAGGACAGACTTGAAACCTGATGTCAGCCCACCCCAGGGATGTGAGGGGTGATGTCCTCTGGCCTTGATGTTGCTCTTGATACTTGGAGGAAGGGTAAGGAAGAACCAGGGCATGGAAGGACCATGGGACCTGAGCAAGGCATGCATCCAGCCTCTCATCCAAAGTACCACAGGGGATGGGAAAAGCACAGGGTACAGCAACACCAGGGGCTGGGGGTCTTCCTATGGCAATCCTAAAACCCTAGGACCAACGTGGTGCTTGAGGCATGGCCACAGCAGAGCAACTGCTGGTGGCAAAAGGATTATCACATGCAACTGAATTAGAATTTAGTTGTTTTCTGTATATTCTGCTTTATCCGGTCTCATAGGTCTCAGAAAAACCCCAGAGCCCCAGCCTGGCATCTCAAAATTGGGAAGGGTCTACCAAAACACACATCAATCAGCCCTCACCCAGGGGATCTCATCACAGCCTGCTGGTGGCACATTTTGGAACCCTGGGGGTGATGCTTACCCACACCAAGCCGTGTCCCGCTGCCCAGGAAGAGCTGGGAGGCCTGGGAGATGGAGCAGTAATAGGTGCCGTTGTCCGAGGTGTGGAGGTGGCTGATGTGCAGGCTGCAGGAGGTGCGGGAACTTGCCCTGTGGACACTAAACTTGTCCTGGCTGATGTTTATGCCGTATGTTGCTTTGCCCAACGAGTTGTAAAATATCAAGAACTCAAAATTTTGATTCTCCTGGCTCCAGCGGTACCAGTACACTCCGGCTTGCTCCTTGTTCAACTCACAGAGAATTTCTGTTTTATTGTTAGTTTGGGCTAAAATATGCTCTGGAGTCTGGGATAAAAGCAGATTTGTACAGAAACCTAAGAAAAAAGAGACAGGAATACATAGTTATTATTTTCCTTTCATTATTTTTATTCCATGCTAAGAACAGATTTTCTTTGTGGGCTTAATAAGATCAAGTAGTCACAGACCAGGAGATCACACCAATGTGGAACAGGAGCATCTTTATCAAGATGCTCCCATATTCCCTCAGAGGCATTTTTGGGTTCCCCAGCTATTTTTCGGTCAAGCCTAGTTATACAGGTAGAGTTTGCCCTGTAAACACTCATCTCGGGAGGAGGCTCAGTGGCAGGGAGAGGGATAGAGGGATGATTTTGGGGGTGTTCTCAGGGATGTATGTGCAGGGAAGGGCACCCACCTGCTCCCGTGCATGCTCCCCTCCTCCCCTCCTTTTCTCTCTCATTTTTTGGAGGGGATTCACCTCGCTCTTAACAGATTTATTTTTTTTGTTGTTCTTAATTTTTCTTAGAACAAAAATTTGCCAGATTTTTGTTCTAAGAGATGCAAAACCAACAAACTCCATCCCAGGTGCAGAAAAAGACAAAGATAAGTGCAAAACATCAGTAAATGAGCCAATTTGACATTGGTTTTTAGGCAGCATTATTTTCATATGAATTTCAAGACCTGGGGAAGGAGAGGGAGTGAGGGGTAGCGGTGGGGTTGAAAGCTTTGGGTTGGCATCGCATCGCCCTGTTTGGGCCTTGCAGCTTTTGTGGATATTATCTGAGTCGTGTTTGGTCCCGGGCAGATGTGAGCAGTGTCTGTGTGCGAGCGAGGATGTGTCCTTGGGAAAAGGATAACAGGTGACTTGTGATCCTTTCTGTTCAGCAAACAGTCCTACAAAGCTGCAGACACTCTGAGACAGTGAAAAACAACTCCCTGAAGATAAGATGTTCTCGCTTCCCCTGTCTGTTTCCCAGGTGTGTTTTAAAGCTGTGTAATGTAAAAAGCTCAACAAAATAAGGTTTTTTGGCTTTTTTTAACTTAAAATGTCCCTATTCCTTCAAAATTCCAAAGATGCTTCCAGCAGTTGTTGTAAAAAGCCTCACAGAGACCTGAAAACCCATTTCTGTGGGAATGGGTTTGTGTGACCAGAACACTTGAAGTCAACCCCTTGGCCCACGGACCTGATGTCACAGAATCGCAGAGTTGTATGAGTTGGAAGGGACCTCAGGAGATCATCTAGTCCAACCCCACCGTCAAAGCAGGTTCCCTACAACAGGTTGCACAAGAAAGTGTCCAGGTGGGTTTGAACATCTCCAAAGAAGGAGACTCCACAGCCTCTCTGGGCAGCCTGTCCCAGGGCTCCATCACCCTCACAGTAAAGAAGTTTTTCCTTAGGTTTGTTTGGAACTTCTGGTGTTCCAGTTTGTGCCCATTGTCCCTTGTCCTGTCACTGGGCACCACGGAAAAGAGCCCGGCCCCATCCATTTGGCCCCCACACTTCATGTGTGTACAGACATTGATCAGATCCCCTCTCAGTCTTCTCTTCTCCAGGCTGAACAGTCCCAGCTCTCTCAGCCTTTCATCATACGGGAGATGCTCCAGGCCCCTAATTATCCCACATCCTTCATGTCCCTAATGGGGACAGGCAAAGGAGAGGGCTCTGGTGACTGACACAGGTCCAGAGCCTTCCTCCATCCTTGCACCGATGACCCCATCGCTGCTGGCACACTGCAGAGACAAGATGGCTTCAGCCCTAATATTGTAACACTGAAATTCAGGCATTGCACAGCAGCCACAGCACTTCACCACATCCTCTGGTGCTGTGACAATCTAAATGTCTCCTTATTATTAAAATAAGTAATTTTCAGGTTTTGGAGTGCAATTATCCCAAACTTTGCTCTGGCAAACACCTGTGTGGTTTTTTTAGGGGATTAAATGTGTGTCACCATGGGTCATGGTGGCTTCAAGGTCTCCTTGGCTGTCCTGAGGTCTGACTCTGCTGGGCATGGGAAACTTAACCCCCCATGAAAATCTTTTCCTCAAGGTGTTGGAGAAATTATTAGATGAATCAGAAAGGATGAGAAGGGATCCTGGAATAAGCAGAAGGCAGCATGGTTCTGTAAGACACCAATTTCTCCTGTGGCCCATGGGAAACATTCAGTCCTTGGACAGATTTAGAAGAAAATTTTATGGGATGTTTATCATCTTCATGTTACACAGGCAGTGTAGATAAGTGCTACTTTAACTCCTCCATCAGCAGCTTCCTACAGTCCATCTGCACTAAGAAGGTGCAGAAAAAACAAACACTGCGGTGTCTATACCATTATATATTGCTCTAAGAATAGACTAAACTAGACTAGACTAGACTGGAATAGAATGGACTAGACTATTTCGGTTGGAAGGGACCTATAACGATCATCTAGTCCAACTGTCTGACCAATTCAGGGTTGACCAAAAGCTAAAACATGCTATTAATGACATTGTCCAAAATTATGTGGCAGGTAGTAAGATCCCGTAGATCTATCCTATACCTGTATAATTGAACTTCCATCATCCAGATGCTGTGCAATCATAGAATCATAGAATGGTTTGGGTTGGAAGGGACCTTAAAGATCATCCAGTTCCAACCCCCCTGCCATCAGCAGGGACACCTTCCACTAGACCAGGTTGCTCAAAGCCTCATCCAGCCTGGCCTTGAACACTTCCAGGGAGGGGGAATCCCACATGCTGGAGCAGGGTGAAGAAGAGGCTCCAGCATGATTTTAGGTACCTTCAACCCTTAAGAGATGTGTCCCTCTTACCTGGGATATGGAGGCAGATGCAGAGATGGAGCCACAGCCAGGCCATGGTGGCGGAGTCAATGATGATGGGTTTTGTGCCAGCTCAACCTTTCCACGCACGGTCACGTCTTGGTGGTAGGGCTGGGTTCACCCCAGCAGGTTCTTCCCCAGCTCGGCGCAGATGTCTCACCAACGGTTGCCGAAGAACATCTGCTGCAGCAGTGCCCGGAGCCTCAGCCCGGCAGCTTCTTCTACGCTGAGCCCCAAATCCAGGAGTGCACCAGAGCGGCAGCCCCGTGCGCTTCTCCAGCACTGCACGGGATCTCCTGAAATCCCCTTTAGGAAGAAAAAAAGAGAAAACTCAATGATTTTTTATTATAATTTTGTTCATATTTCTTCACCTAATTTTTCCTCTTTCTTTTCCTCTTTCCTCTTTTTTTGTCTGAGGGTGGTCAGACACTGGAACAGGTTGCCCAGAGAAACTGTGGCTGCTCCTCCCTGGAAGTGTTCCAGGCCAGGTTGGATGAGGCTTGGAGCAACCTGGTCTAGTGTAAGGTGTCCCTGCTGATGGCAGGGGGGTTGGAACTGGATGATCTTTAAGGTTCCTTCCGACCCAGACCATTCTATGATTCTGTGATTCTATGATTAATCTAGTTCCAAGGAATTAAAAAAATGACAAATGTAGGAGGTTGGCATTAAAAATAGAAGCAGGAAAGGATGAATTTTAGCTGCTTTCTCCTCCATTGAAATCAAAAAGCATTCAAAAGAAGGAAAAGATGCAATATTTGAGCTGTGGGGTTGTTTTCTTTAGCAGAATCTTTAGTAGGAGGTGTTTTTCTCCTGGCCTGGAAAATGCTGAACGCCGAACTAGCTCACCATAAAGCAGAGGCACGAGGCATCACAAAAAATTTTGAAGGCAAGAGTAAGAAATCTCAAGCAAATTTAGCAGGTGAAAACCCACAAGAATAAGGAAATTCTGCTGAGGCTCCCCCCCTCGCAGCGGGCACTGCTGTGTTAGCTGCAGCAGTGCACGGCTCACATGCAGAAATATTTAAGTGATAAATCAAATATCAGAGTGGCTTTGAAATGCCTTCGGGAGGGAGAGGGTTGAAGCACTCAGGTTTTAGGATTCAAAGAGTGAAATATGTGATGTCAAATTACAGGGGTGAACTGGTGTCAGCAGCCTTCAATATTTCCATGTTTGGGGGAAAATAAAAAAATTCACTACCCTCTTGGCTGCCAAGCGGGGTTTGGTTTTCTTTTATGCTCCTCTAGTGTAGGTGCTCGTGGTCCTTCCAAAGCCTCAGCATCTCCCCAGGGCTGGCTTCCCAGTGAGGGGGAATTTTCCAGGGGGTCTCACGTGGGGGTACTGAGAAACCTCCCCCGGGGTTTGAGCTGGCAGATGAATAGGAAAAACAATATTGCATCTTGTACAGCGCAATTTTTCAGTCCATTTTGTACCAGATTTTTCCATGCTGCTGTAACATCCCCTCCCCATTTCTGTTTAAAATAATTTCCTGCTCGAAGCGGGTTGCTAACCACCGAAAGCCTTGCCAGGAAGGGCTCAGCTGCTAAAATTTAGGGTGGGCTGAATCTCTCCTTAACTCTTTCCTGGCAGGAGAAAGTAATTTTAATGTTTTCAAACATATTTTAGTGCTTTTAAGCTCTTGTTTTTGGAGCTGAACCCTTGTCTATCCCCTCCTTACCCCCTGCTTGCCTTTCCCCTTTTGTTTCACATCATTCCCAAGTCTGGACTTCCTCAGAATGGGGTGTAGACACCTTATGTTTTTATTTTATTTTATTTTTTTTTTTTTTTTAGGTGGGGGGATGTTTAATATGAGAAATTCCACTAGAAGTGAATTTTCCCTTTATCCCCAGGGTGAAGTCGGTGAGTTGAGCCCAACGTCCCTGGCTGCCGTAATGGCTGTGCCCCCCCTTTTCTCACTACTGCTGTCACCCTAAGCATCTTCTGGTCTCCTGGCCAACACCAAAGTGCTTCCAGAGGTGGCTTTTGTCACCCTTACAACCTTGGACATGGGGAATGTTACATGGGGCATCAAATGCTGCTACAAGGCTGGTGACACTGGGTTGTCCAAGCAGATACATTGGGTTGTCTAAGAAGATATTTTGGATTGAGAGGATTCCCCAGGACATTATAGCAGCTTTAGAGATGTTTCCTTGGAGTGCTTTTACCTATAGGATGTCTCCTGTGGAAAGTAAAAGGAATATTTGCAATGTAAAAGCATAGTGTGTGTGCTGGAACAGGGATTAATTTTTTTTTGAAGCTGCTGTTTATACGCAGATGAACTATTTACTGGTGGCCAAGCTGTTCTCAGGACTGGCTGGTGCTCCTACGAGATAACATTTTGGAGGTGGGATGCCTTTGTCTGGCAGCCAACAAAAATAAAGCACTGTGAGAACGTGCAGGAGAGCAGCTGCTGTTTATAACATCCCCACATTGTTTGGGGCTGCTGTCCTGGGAAGAAAAAAGGGGAGGAAAAAAGGGTGTCATTTGAAGTGATCTGTTAATACAAGCAAGATCAGTTGTTGACCTTGCTGGGGTACAGCGGCTCCTCATCATGAGTGTTTGGCTCATGGCTGGGGCAAGATGAGGGAGATCGATGAATTTTAGTGTATTAGTGTACTCAGCTGCAAAATTCCTAGGGAGAATTTATTCTTTTCCTGAAATGAAAGACAACCACCTCGGTCCCCAGCCCAGCCAGCTCCCTGTCCCATCTTGGTGCTCTCCCTGTGGGTCTCCTCCTCACCCATCCTGGAGGAAACATCTCTTCTTTTTCTCAGCCCACATCCCATGTACCTCACCATGCCGACATTAATTCCCCGCACTTTCACCAGCTTTGTTACATTTTCAACTTTTTATTTTCTCCTTAGGATGGGTTTCTTACAGCAAAGTGTTTGCTCTTGGGGGAGGGGGGGTTGGAGGTAGGCTCATCGGGGTAGAAGAAAGGAGTCCACAGACAAGAAGCAGGATCTGACTGGGGCTTCATCTCTGCTAAACTCCCATGTTGCAGCAGAGGTAATTGCAGCTGAGCTGTAAATGCCAGGCTGGAGGAACCGTTTCCATAAAAATAAGGAAAAAACCATTCCCTCAGTGCTTTCTGGGATACAAGGGCTGACTTTTCGGATCTTGGAGGGCTGCTCAGCCTCAAACCTGGTCCAACACAATCAGTAGTGCAGGACCTGAAAATAAGGGCCTGTTGGAGATAAGTGGCTGCTGGATGGAAACTCCCCAGGACTCAAGCAGCCATGGGTGAATATTTTTTTACTTTTAAAAATTATTATTCTTTTATACCAGGGAAGGGTGCAGCTTCTGGAGTAGTTTGTTAGGAAAAAAAGCAGCGATGAGAATGACAGCATTTTCACTGAGTAAGGAAGATGAGTACCACCTTCTTCTCAGTGCAATGGCAGAAAACAAATGAAGTGGGTCGAGTTTTCTTTTCTAAACAGTTCCAAGTCAAGATGTGGTTTGTACACGATGAGGCTGGGGGGGTCTGTCTGCCTTTGCAGGTGCAGATTTACAGCTGTATTTCAGCTGATGCAATATCACGGTCGAGGCTCCTGACATGCCATGGGGTGCCCCAAGGTATACACCAGCATGCGGTGGGCTGGTTTGTGGCATAGAAAAATGCTGCTTTTGAAGTCCAGAAACCAAAATGGATCTAAAGTACAAATTGTATGAATTTTCCTACCATCTCGTCTGCCCCCAGCAAACACTTTGTGCTTGGAGGGGGACTTTGGGGGAACCGCATGTGTTACAGGTGTCAGGTGTGAGGCCCATGTGTGACCTTTCCCCAAAACCCAGGTGCTAAAGGTGTCTGCGGCAAGTGAGGAGGCCATTTGGGGACTCTGGGAGGATGGATGCTGAGGGGACAGGCTCCAGCTCTCCCTCTTCAGGGCACTCAGTGCAAGCAGAGGTTAGCATGAGCGAGTGGTGACTAATTCTGGGCCCACCTCCCGAAATAGATAAGCAGCTGCTCCTATGTGATTTCAACATCCCTAATCAGTGCCAAAGAGGATAAGGCAAGACAAGGAAAGCGTCCTTGGGAAGGCAGGGGGAGGGATGCAGCACCTGCAGGAGGAAAAGCCACCGAGGAAGTAAGCAGGGGCGTCATCAGCCCCAAACAACGATCTGCCATGGCTATAAAAACCCACTGGGATGGCATCTCACAAACACCTTGACTTTAAAGGTGCCGAATCCACGGGAGCTCTGCAGTGACCATCTCCGGGTGCCCAGGACTGCCAGGACATCCAGCCAAGGATTGGTGAGATCTTATTATCGGGGTCCTACTACACCTCTGCTTCGCTTCACCTGTTCCCACATCCCTACCCTGTCCCCTCCCTGGGAGCCAGTGGGTCAGGGCAGCTGCCCACTTGGCCACGGCCACCCATCCGCAACTTCCTCTTCCCTTGCTACCGGGTTCAGCATCGCCCCGGGGGAAATTTTTGGAGGGGCGGGTCGCAGGGTCTCAGCCTTCCTCTGCGGGTGGGTCAGTGGTGTTGGTGTTATGGTAGCTTTGCTCTGAGAGGGAACTGTCTTGGATCTCGTTCCCGTCACTATGATGCCCGATATTGTTAGCAACTGGAAGCTGGAGCAGTTTGTACTCCAGAAATGTCTCCCCCCAGTCTGGTCCCCAGGGGCCTTCCAGGGCCCGGAGGCGTACCAGCAGCTGTGCCAACAGTGGGAGAGCTGGTCAGAGGAGGCCAAAAAGCCCAAACCCACTAATAAGTGCAAGAAACGAGCGGCTTTGCAGGGTTTGCTGATGGTGAGCAGGGAGTTGTCCAAATTGCTGAAAGAGGCTCTTGAGAATGTGCAGAATTTGGAGCAAGCCAAGAGTGAGCTCAAAATGCAGGTGGACAACCTGCGGGCAGAGGTGCAGGGTTTGTGCGGGGATTCTCTGCGGAGCGCGGTGGAGATCACCCGGCTGGAGAGCAAGCTGGGCTATGAGAAGCTGAAAACAGAGGAGCTGGAGAAGGAGGTTGGCAAGTGGATCGGAGAGACCCATGATGCGCAGAGTGCGGTGCGGGCGGTCTTGCAGGATGTCCAGCGTGACCGGGGCACTGGCCCTGATCACAAGGTATGCCATGCCAAGATCCAGGAGCTGCAGGCAGAGCTGGGGGTGTCGAGGGGCATTGTGGCTGCCATCCAAGGCAAGAGAACCCGGTTTGGTAATGGTGAGGGGGAGGACTCCTTGGACCCACACCCACCCCACTATGACTATGAGGATGATGTGTGGGGTGCCAATGGCCCCACCAGGCCATCCCCCTATGCTCCTCTGCGGGAGGAGGTGTGCCAGCTGCAGGGAGGGGAGGTGGAGGCTTCCAAAATTAAAAAGAACCCCCCTGATGAGCCAGCTGGCCATGGCCCGCTCCAGGCCATAGACACCAACCGGCCTGTCCTCTGGTTTACCCCTGAGCAGCTCAAAACAGTAGGGAAGATGCTGGGGCCACTGACAAAGGAGACAGCAGTCAATTGGCTGTCCAGGGCCCAGCGGCTGCCCAGGTGCCAGAGCGGCAACTCGGTGAGTGACCTGATAGACGTGGTGAGAAAGTGCATGAGACCAGATGACTTTGCGGCACTGCCGGGGGACGTGCAGATGGGCAATGTCCAGGACATCGGGGATGTCCAGTCAGCCGTGCTGAAGGTGTTCTTCCCAGAGGTCAACCCCTTAGTGCTCTTCCACCAGGAAAAGCAAAACCCAGAGGAGCGTCCGGATGCCTATGTTAACCGTAAGAAGATGCTCTACCAGATGGCTGGGCTGCCTGGCTCAAAGGACTCCCCTCTTGATTTTGACAGGCCTGAATTCAAGGAGCCACTGGTGGTGGGGCTCACCCCCCCGTTGCGGGTGATTGCTGGTGGGGATGCAGCCAGAAAGCCGCTGTCGGAGCTAGAGCAGATCCTGACCCAGAATTTTGAGCTGCAAAAGCAGGCGTTCCCAGGGTACATGCTGGGGGGGAAGAAAGGGAAAACTTCAGCCATGTCCTTCCAAAATGCCGGGGTGAGAAAAATGCAAGGAGACAACCGAAAAGATCCCGATGGCAAGGGAGGTTCGGGGAAGGAGAACCAGCAAGGGCTGAGGTTTCAGAAGTCCAACCCTTGGCGGGCTGAGCTGAGGAAGCGTTTGATAAAGTACGAGAAGCAGGAGGATATTGATGGCTTGCCAGATGCAGAGGTCTTCCGAAAACTGGCTCTGCACGAGGCCAAAAAGCACAGCAGCTCCAACCCGATTGACCCGGGGTCTAAGGCTCAGCAATAGGGCTGCCAGGCACCCGCATCGCCCCTTTTTCTGGCACCGATTAAGACCGATTCGTGGGGGCGCCTGATAGTTGATGTAACTATTGGAGGAGGGGTGCTTGGACAAGTGATGTTAATTGATACTGGTGCCTCTTATTCAATTCTGAATATGGCCCCTGGCAAAGCTGGGCTCTTCCAAACTTGTGAAATTATTGAATTGACAGGGCCGAACGGCCAAAAATCCTCAGTGCCATTCACAGGGCCCGTACCCTTCGAAATTGGGACTGCCAAAGGGTCTGAAAAATTTGGGAAAATGGAAATGAAGGGAAATCCAGGAATTTTAGCTATCTCCACACTGACAAAGATGGGGGTGGTGGTGGACCTGGCAAACCGAGCACTGTTACACTCCCCTCAGAGTGATGTGCCCATCATCCCAGCGAGCCACAGGGTGATGTCAATGAAAGCCCCTGAGCTCCTGGTCCACCCCGAGTGGGAGCCCCGAGTGAAACGGGTCACGGAGCAGTTCCCCCAGGTCTGGGCAAGAAGCAAGCTGGACTGTGGGCATATTGATGCTGTTGTGGCAGTCAAAGGTCCAGATCCCCCTCCTCAGCCACAGCCCCAGTACCCAGCTGAGGCTGAGGACGGCTTGTGGGACACAATCAAAACCTTGCTGGACCAGGGAGTGCTGGTGGAACAGCAGAGCACCAGCAATGCCCCAGTGTGGCCCCTGCAGAAAGCTGATGGGAAAACGTGGAGGCTGACAGTCGACTTCAGCACTCTGAACTGTGTCACCCCACTGCGGATCTCTGCAGTGGCCAAGTACCCCGACATGATGGCAGCCATCTCCCGGGGATCTGAGTGGTTCTCGGTGCTCAGCCTGACCAGCCCATCCTTTGCCATCCCCTTGCACCCCAAGTCTTGGCACAAGTTTGCCTTCACCCTTCAAGGACAGCAATTCACCTTCGCCAGAGTCCCCCCGGGCTTCCACAATGCCCCCGCCATCTGCCACACACATGTGGTGAGGATGTGGGAGAAGCTTGGCCACCGGGAGAGTGTGCTGTCCTGTGCTGGTGACATCCTCATCCACACCCGGACAAAGGAGGAGAACCTGGAGGTGCTGGCAGAGGTGCTGGAGGCTATCCAGAAGACAGGCTTCAAAGTCAGCCCCACAAAGGCCCAGCTGTGCTGGAAGGAGGTCTCCTACCTGGGGGTGACCCTGGGGGAGGAAGGGCGCTCTCTGGAGAAGCAGAGGGTTGAGCTAATACAAAAGGTGTCAGCACCAGCTGATGCCACTACCCTGAGGTCCTTCCTGGCTCTCCTGAGGTTCTCCCGGGAGTTTGTTGAGGGCTATGCAGAGAAAGCTGCCCCTCTCTGCCACCTCCTGAAGAAAGACATCCCCTGGGAATGGGGGCCAGAGCAGGACGAGGCGGTGAAGACCTTGAAAGAGAGCGTGGCACGAGCCCCCGTGCTGGTGCATCCCCGGGGGGACAGACCCTATGTCCTGCAGCTGGCCAGCACGGGGAGGGGGCTGCAGGCCACCCTGGGCCAACAGCATGGTGCCCACCTCCTCCCTGTTGCCCATGCCTCGCGTCTCCTGACCCTGGCTGAGCAGCAGTTCACTGACTATGAGAAGGAGGTTTTAGCCTTGACCTGGGCGCTGCAACACTGGGAGTACCTGGTGGGGTCAGCCCCGGTGCTGCTGAGGACCTCCCACACCCCGGTGAGGTACCTCTTGTCGGGGAAGTGGGATGAGGGTCCCCTGCGCTGCCCCAGGATGGCCAACTGGGCGTTGGCATTCAGCAACAAGGAGGTCCCCAGGGAGGCGGGGGCAGCCTCGC